AAAATTCCTGTCCCTAAATCTACTATGTTGCGCTGGAATTGGTTGATGGACCGGAAAGCCATCTGTGAAAATTGACATACTCCCTACCATTTCTTGTTCAAAAAGTACGTGGAATGTGTTCACAAACATCGTGGTGATAAAAATGGCTTTAATTGAAAAACTCGCCTGACGAGCGACTAGCCATTAAATGAATTAAAGCATATTTTATTGTGGATTGTTAGAAGCTGAAGCAATCAACCATTGTTGTCGGCAGCCCTCTACTTCCCGTAGAGTTTGTGCTCATATATCCAATTAAGAATGCGTAGACTTTGTTGTGTTTCCACAAACTGCTAAGAGTGCAGTGAAGGTGCAAAAAAAAACCCCCGAGTTTTGTATATGCTAGTAGAGATAACTAGTTGGGAAATTTACCAAAAACTAATTGGGTTTGATGTGAAGACATTTGCTGTAAAAGTGCTAAAATTACTAGTTCTGGTTTCTTGCTTTGGATACAATTAGTTGAGAAATGTACCCCCCCAAAAAAATACTGAAAAATGACTGAGTTTTATAACTTGATGGAGAGATGTGATGACATTTTGTTGTTGTAAACGTGGTAAAACATTAACTACTGGTTCCAGTTTCTCGCTATGGAGACAACTTAAGTTGGGAAATTTACCGAAAATTTCCTGAATTTTATAACTTGATGGAGAGATGCAAGGACATTTTGTTGCTGTAAAAGCACTAAACCATAGCAGACAAGGCACTATCTAGTTAGTATAATGTATGTATCTGGAAAATGATAAAAAAATGTACTACTGGGAAATTGTGGTAACACTCATGTCACCATAGGGGAGCTTAAATTACTTTTTTCGGGCGACTACCTGAAGTCCCAGTGTATTCGGCTAACACCTCATGGTACCAAGAGGTGTCAAACCTTCGCTTTGAATTACATATGCAAATTAGCTGGCTACACATTCAATGGGCAGCCAGGTAATTTTCATAACATTTTTGCGCACCTCAAAGCTCCTCATGCCAAGTACCCACTACCAGATTGGGCAGACCAGTGAAAAGGCCCTGATGCTTAAAGGACTTTGTTTAAGTTTATGAAATCGGACTTTCATTCCTTTCTGACTTAAGGAGAATTAAGACAAACAGTTTTGCAATTTGCTAGATTAGAGGCAACTGGGTGATTGTTAGGTATATGAGTAACACACATATCTCGGACTTTGTCAAACAAAAAAAAAATGACAAAGAATGTAAACAATAGCTTGTTAAGATTGCATTAGCTTTAAGTCATGTGAAATTAGGCGCAGTCCCGCCAGATCCAAAGACAAGCTACAACTGATGCTAAAGAGTTTTTTTCTCAATTGGAGATTGACTTGCCTTCTTGACTACATCTTGTTACAGTAACAACAGGCATAGTAGCCCTTTTTGACTTTGGCAAGTGAAAAAAAAAGCCATTTAATTTATTGTACATACCTTGGTCTGCATCTACTTGTGACATTTTTCTTTTATTTCCCTGGGCTTGGATGTTGCTTGTGGTGAGATCACCTTCTCTATTTGAAGGCAAGACTTCATGCCTTACTCTTCCACCAATGTGAGTTGGTTGTTCTGCAGGGATTTCTCTTGCTGGCTCTGGACTGATTGAATCAGACTGCTGTTGAACAGTGGTTTGCTCTCTTGACATTTCCCTACTGATGATGTCAGAAGGCCCTTAAATCATGACAAAAATTTTATGTTATGTTAATAATTTAGCTTGAATTTGGAATAGAAGAGCCTGATGATTGGAAAACAGAATATCAGGGTTGGGTTCACCAAAAATGAGATGATCAAAATTTCTGGTGATCACCAGGTCAAGAATATGGCCAAGTTCATGTGTTGCACCATGGACATGTTGTTTTAATGCCACGGAGTCAAGCAGATCAGCAAAGAGACGAGCGGCAGAATCATTAATATCATCAACATGGATATTAAATCTCCAGTTAAATTCACCTCTTTCATTCAGCATTTTTATCATAATTTTTTGTGCCGTGGATCTTTTTCATCACTATTTTGATCTAGTATTTTAATTATTTATTGTTTCCTGTTTTCCATTTTTACTGTGTGAATTTACCTCATTAGTGTAATTTTTACCCTTTTTACTTACTTTATATTGTGAAGCACATTTGAACATTACTTTATGGAATTTGCGCTATACAAATATGTTGTATTATTATTGTATTATTATAACACCAACAAGCAGATCTTCATATTATCCATGTAGTACGAGACCAACAAAGGGTCACTTAAGTATACCGGTAGTGTCATACATCCTCCTCAAACAAACCGACACTTAATGAATTGAGTTTGGTGAAGTTGGTTCATTCTCCACCCCTATGCTACAGCTATTCTAAATTCATTTTTAAGCACTAATTTGTTTCCAACCTGGAGAATACATCATCTATGCCAACTATTCCAGATTGTGTGGGAGTCTCCCTGACACAGAGCGAATCTTCAGGTTTCCTATGGGGGTCACCAAATCTCCCAGATTCAGAGGAAATTCTCCGGGTATGTATACATTTAGCTGATAAAAGTAAACTATAAAACTTTAAGGTATGAAAAGCTGTTAAAATTATGAGTCTAAACGTTTTTGACCTGTTTGATCATCATCTTGCTCTGATGATGATCAAACAGATCGAAAACGTTTAGACTCATAATTTTTTCACAGCTTTTTACCTTAAAGTTTTATATTTTCTGAGTATAGTTTTGGAATATCTGAAACATTTTTGTGGCTGAATCAGCAGAGCTCTACTTTTAAGAATGATTTCTTTCTTTTGTTTGGGTTTACAAAATATTCATAAGCTTAATTTGTATGCAATAAGCCCCCACTTCCTGAGCCAAAATAAATGAGAATATTATTAGTAATACACAAAAAAGTCTCAATGCCCATAAAATGATTACATTTTTTAATTTCTCAGCCCTGGGCTGTACTGTTAGAAAGCCCCTCAACTCTACCCAAGGTTTAAAAGTAAACTTGGGTATTTATTTCAGTCTCTTCTATAAATTAAGATGTTTTTTTCACTGCTTTTGTTTTGTATAGTTTGAGATTATTCAAACTGGGTTAGCTTAATCAGGCTTTGAACAACCTGGCCCTGGGGTCCGTTTCTCGAAGGCCCCGGAAACTTTTTGGGCCTGCAAAGCCATTTTCATTTAATCGGTATTTAAAGACAGAGAGGTGTATACGCCTGAAACTTCTTGTATGAAGGGAACCTCTGTTTATATTAAGAATATATGAATAAAACAGCTCTGAAGTCATAAGGTTTGAGATTTTGCTACAGCTTTGGGTGCGAAAACTTTTCTGGACCTTCGAGAAATGGGCCCCTGGTTGAATTAGGGGGTTATTAATATTCAGCATGCTGATCATGTGATCAGCATGCCTAGTCATGATATTGATCCCAAGTTCAACTGGTGATAAAGATAATTTTCACTCTCAGCCACAACCAATATAGCAACTGTTGACTGCCAGCAATGGTGAAATTGTCTTGCATAATTTATGCACATTTTACATCTGACGCTATATATTTAGGAATAACAGACCTTATATTTCAATTTTCTAATAGAATCTTATGTCTAACAAGTCATGGAAAATTCGAGTTCTGAAGTACATCGACCATGAATTAAAAACTAAGGGTGCATTCCTTTGGGGTGATCTGGATCAGGATCAGTGATTCAAGATCACCTGGATCATAGTTCATCAATGGAACCAATGAATCCATGATCAGAGTGAATTCATCGGTTCCTTTGATACACCATGATCCGAGTGATCTTGGATCACTGATCCTGATCCAGATCACCCCAAAGGAACGCACCCTAAAGATACCAGGTAAAAGAATTTACCGATCAAGTTTAAGGTAAAAATAGCCTCGCTAGAAAAGCAACAAATAAGGTTTTCATTTTTCCATATTGTTACATATGTCTGTAAAACCAATTTGAAATTCACGGGAAAATTGCGAGACATTTGTATCAAAAATTAATAGTGCAAACTTTTTCTCGCCTCACAGTGAAGCTATGTTCTTCAAATTTGACCGGAAAAACCTTTGCTGGGATCGAATCTGTTCCTTGTTACTCATAAAATACTGAGAAAGTCAATCACTCTCAACTTATTGGGCATTGAAATTTTAACTTTTCTCATAGATTTACTGCAATTTTTGCTATGTTTGCCCCCAAAGCAAGATGGCGTCAGAAACTGTGAAAAGGGTTATTGTAGTTAATTAGTCTTATTTGAGTAAGACTTACTCAAGCCTGATAAGGTTTCGCCTGACAACCAGACTGGAGAGATTCTACTTGATCCATCATCTCGGCAGTTTAAGATTCCAACAGCAGTCAGGTTCTCGCCACGAGACAAAATAACAGAACCATGGGGCTTGCGATTCGATGAGCCGGTAAATTCCGCCAGACTTTTGAAAGAAGAGAGTCCATCATGAAGAACACACTGCGGATCGAGCATTAGCTTCAGCCCAAACGGCTTCACATCAAAACCGCTCGAGCCCATGTCATCCACGACAGGACACAACAATTCATTCAAAAGTTCATTTCCCTTAGTGAATGGTCGATATGTGAAAATACTGGATTTCTTGATCGTGAATACCTTTGGATCCTGCAGAGGAATCACAACCAAACCGGAAGTAGATCGATGGATGGCATCCGACATCGCAATATTACCCAGTTTGATAGTTTTCTGGTTGGATGAATTTAACTTCTTGAAATCTACATAAA